GTTCAGCAAGAACTTCCCAAGTATGGTCCAAGTCTTCTGCTAACCGAGCTTCGTTTACCTGTCAAGTACATAACGTCAAATGGGCATTCATACAGTTAAAAAACGGTTGATTTCATGCGGAAATCGCGTTGGAATGTACCTGAAGCTTTGCAATTCCTTGTATCGCGCTCTTGTAAGCAAGAAGAGAGTGGCCTAAAGCTCCGCCCATATTTCTCAGGACGGTTGAATCAGTCAAGTCTCTCTACATTCACATCCAACTTATTTGTATCGGTTTTTGCAGTTACAGTACGAAAAATCTAGCGAAGATTCGTAAAATTAACCATAGGGGGTTCGACCTGCATGCGTGAAATCGGAAGCTTCATGCTGAGATAAGAAAGCTCTGCATTTGCTTTCCCGAGATTCCCTTCACTGTTCTCGAAATCTATCGGGTTCACTTTGTGAGGCATTGTCGATGACCCTATCTCGCCTGCTTTCGTTATCTGCTTCGGAGTAATAAACGAGATAAACTCACCCACTTTCGTATCTTAAATAAGAAGAACAAAGGAGAAATGTATCGAAAAGATTGTTGTTCTTTTCCGGTTACTGATACTTGCCTGCTTAAAATACCCCAGAGATATGTAGCTCCATATATCTCTGTCAAAATCAGTCAATATATTGTTGAACTGGCTGATTGTATTGAACAGCCTTGCCATATAGTCATGAGGTTCAATCTACAGAAACAACACGAGAAATGATCAGTTAATGAAACCAATGTCTCTGTCTGAAATCGGTTATGGGGACAAAATGGTCGGAGAAGAAATTACCTGAGTAACATATGGGTTAAATGTCAGTCCGAGAGAAGCAACAAACTCTTCTGAAACACGAGGCCAGTCGATATCAGGATAAGCAGAAATATGCGCATTGTAATTCCCGACAGCACCGGCAAATTTCCCCTTAAGCTTAATTTCAGAAAGATATCGCCTTTCTTCACTTAACCTCACAGCAAATATCGCCATTTCCTTCCCCAAAGTTGTAGGCGAAGCTGGCTGCATCGTTATACGTAAAACACCGAATCATTAAAAACTATATATATAACTAAACCCAAAGAAAAAAAAAGAACAAGGATAAACCAGTTTCATGTCACTTCGCTTCACCATAATATTTCAATAAAATGGCAAATTCCTAAGCCTGAGAAACTACTGCCAGGGCGTTCTTATTCACATACCAAAGATTAAAGCCCTTCTACAAAAAGAACAGTTGATCATTGTGCTGATTCAATAACACGGTAGCTGTCTTCTGTTTCAATGTTTTTACCTGTCCATGAGTTCGTGAAAGCATGGGAATATGTGCATTATCCTTAGCCATCTGAGAGATTGCCAAGATGAGCTGATCCATAACCGGAATCAACACCGAATTAACCGCTTCTTTCAGCATCAATGCATGGGAAAGGTTGTTGATGTCCTCAGACGTGCAAGCGAAATGGAAAAATTCAAGAACCTGTATGAATGGATATAAATATCGAAACATGAGCACCCTTCAAACAGACATAAAGAACTTAGGAGCAAGAAAGTGATTTCTGACCTTTGCAATCTCGGGATGAGATTGGCATTTTTGTTTCAAGAAGTATTCCACAGCTTTGACATCATGATTTGTTACTTTCTCGATCTTTTTCACTTCCCAGGCATCATTCATGCTAAATCCATCGATGATTCCTTGCAAATACGTTTGAGCTTCACTGCTAAAGCTTGGAACTTCAGGTACCTCAGGGATTTGTGATAGCTTAAGCAACCATTTGATCTGTGGCAGAAACGCAAAATATAAAAGATGACTACGGCATATGAGAAATGTTCATAACAAAGATACTCTCCTCTGATGCCTCATCTATCTATATGAAGGAAAGAAAACCAAACACACAATGTATATTAAAATTTTCAAGAAACGTCCAATTGAGCAAAGAAAATAACTAACAAGAAAAAGCTTTGCCCTCATCAAGATCCACTTTTGATTGATAGAATAAAATCTGGGTTGCAAAAAAAAAGGCAAACCAGCGACAAAAGCAACAATATGGGTAATTTCATATCATATTGATGATAATTAATACGTAAAGTTATAAACTTTCACTTGGAGTACACAAAGCTTTTGTAAAGGAAACTGAGGAACAGTCAACTGAAGAATTTTCAGAAGGAACACATTGGAATCTTACCTCGACGAGAACCCGGAAATAGATCAAACCAAACTCGCTCATACAAGAGGCCAATTCCTTAACTTTCCCCCAATAACGTCCATCCAAAGGCGATAAAGCCGTCAAGTTCGAAAGCTCCAAGTCTGAGAAGCCCTCCATTGCCATTGCTTTCGCCTAAAATTAGCCGTTTTCATCGTAAATTTCAAATCAGAACTATGAGATTATACTCAGAGAAACACCTCCTCGATCTAAAAATGTCCCATGGGTACAACATTTCACCTGTGTGAACCACGAATAACACAATTGGTGACGAACTCTCACCTTTCTCGAAGTCGAGAGCTTGAGGGAATTTACAGGAAAAACCCCAGGAGAAATTCTCGGAAGCGGTTTATACGAAGCGTTTACAAAGTTCAGGGGGTTTCTGGAGGGAACGAGGCCGAGAATGGTGATTCTGTTGTTGGGCAAAACCCTAGACGACAAATTGAGCTCCATTTCTTATTCAATCGGAATCGGAGAAACCCAGACTTGAGTTCCCGGTCTTTTTCCTTCCGGCGAGAAGCACGGGGAAAGGGTTTTAGGGTTTTAATACTGAAATTTGGGGGCATGCTGTCTCTGTTTTTTTTTTTTTTTTTTTTCCTGAACTCCAATTCTACCCCTGCCCTATCTGTTGTCCTTTTTCGGTAATTTGGAAAAATTTTCCAAATAATTTCGAAATATTAAATTAAGTACATATAAGGAATTAAACTTTAGGGATACTTGGAGATATACCCAATCTTTATACAAATATTATTAATACCATATAAGGGATAAAATAATGATTGTGCCAATAAAGGTGGATCGTGGATATGTATCAAACTTCATGAAGTAAATAATAATGACAAAGATAAATCCGAAAAAATAAAATAAACTTAATCGAATATCTGTTGGTATTTCATGGGGAAATCGAAATTCATTATGTTGGACCGTTATTAAAAAAAAATTGACATTGTGTATAATATTTCAGAGGAAAAAGCATGATTTTGATCTCTTGGTTTTGGCCAATGGCTTCTTCTTCTTCTTTGCATTTGGTGGCCTCAAAGCGACTCTTATTGCTGTATCAAACACTGCCTTCACATTCTATTAAACAACACAAATAAAACAAAGCCTTACAAACATACATATATATATATATATAAATAAATATTAAAAATATACTATGGATAGAGAAAGTGGAATAGATTTGTGAGACGAATTTAAATTATTTTTTAGTTACAATGTTTCTATATAAAAATATCATTTTTTTGTGAAATATTAACTTTATTTTTGTATATTACGTTTTTAACACGGTAATGAAAAATACAAAACATCTTATTTTGTTCCTATTATATTATTTATTTTTTAATTATTAAAATAAGTTATATACAGATTCGATGTGATTTATACACATACCCATGTAATTTTAACATATCCTATAGTCATAAAAAAAAAATTGAACCTGTTGGGTCTTGGAGCTGCACTCTATGTATCTAACAGCTCCAATCAGCTTCCTTAGTTCCTCTCCCTATTTACACAAATTTATTAATAAAAAATTATTCAAAAACATGAACTGATTAGTGATTAATATAAGTTCATAATTTTCATTAATTTTTTTAAAATATATATTTCGTGACTAGGGTACCTGGGTGGTCGTTATAAATGTTGATCCCGGATGATCCTTCAAGAATTGTTTGTCTTCCCGCAAATCTGTATGCATATTTTATTTAATTCTAAATATTTATTCATACTCAAAAAGAAAAAAAAGAATATGGGCTCAGCCGATAACTAATAACAAAGCCCAAAACGGCAAAAATGAGCAAATGTAAGATGGGCCCTGGCCCATTTACCTATCGAGTGGACACGATTTTATCCACTAGATTTGAAAATAAAAATAAACTGTAAATTACGATTAATTTACCTAATTTGGTTCCAACGAGGACAACTGGGACGTTAGGCGCGTAATGTTTAAGCTCCGGGATCCACTGTCAATGTTTATAAAGATATATCTCTATGATATACGACAATACTCAAACTAAAATAAAAAAATTACCGATGCGTAATTATAAGATTATTATCGAATTCAATTTAAAAAAAAATTACCTTCTTGTAAATATTCTCGTAACTGGCCTTACTGATTAAGGAAAAAGCCAACAAGAAGACATCAGCTCCTCTGTAACTCAGAGGCCTTAGCCTGTTGTAATCTTCCTGCCCTGTTTTTTTTTTTCATGTAGTTAATCCGAATAATTATAATCCATATCAATTATAAAATAATTATACAAGATATATACAATACATACATACATATATATAATGTGACAATAAGGACAAGAGTATCGTACCGGCGGTATCCCAGAGGCCGAGATTCACGGTGCTGCCGTCGACAACCACGTTGGCGCTGAAGTTGTCGAAAACGGTCGGAACGTAATCCTGAGAACATTGACATTCGAATGATCTTAATAATTAATTTCCATGCATTATTTTAATATTGAATGTTTAGATTTTCATGCATTCGGTTCGGTTGAACCGGAATCCGGTTTAGCTCTAATAACCGAAAAAAAAACAGAAGAAGAACAACTTACGGTCGGAAAAGTGTTGCTGGTGTAGGAAATGAGCATGCAAGTTTTTCCGACAGCTCCATCTCCAACGGTGACACACTTTATGAATCTCGCAGTGCTCATTTCTTATGTCCAGAGAGAGAGAGAGAGAGAGAGAGAGAGAGAGAGAGAGAGAGAGAGAGAGAGAGAGTAACAAGGGGCTTGTGGAGGAAGAGGAGAGTGGAGGGTTTTTATTAAGCTTATGGATGATTAATAACTCTTGTTATTGTCGATTAGGGTTTTAGAGTTACGTTAATTTTTCATAATTTTATTATAATGACAAATGATTATGCAATGGAGTTTTTCTTTTTCTTCGAGTGCAAGGACTATATATGCCACAAATGGTCTGCAAAGTTCTGTAGCAGTTTGGTGCCCCCAAGTGTGTTGGTTGTTAGTGGATTTTGAATTGTCCGACAAGGAAGTCCCACCTTTCTTTACATATATGTATACATACATATATAATACTTATATTATTAATCGCATGATTTAGATATGAATTGAGATTTCATATACGTGATGATAAAGAATAATGGGTTTCGTTATTATATGGGTGAGTTGTCTGATTTTATTGGTTAGTGCTAAATCCTAACTTATATTTGTATATTTACCATGTATAATTAAGCAAATATGTGCGATGTATGTTTTTAAAATACATACACATAATTTGTTAGGTGACATGATATGAATTAGGGGGCAAATGTTAGGATTAGACCAATTATGATTACTTGGTTTTGGCAACATCATAGACAGCCCCCACCCACCATATTCATATTATTACATATTTTGAGTTCCGATTTTTCGGTTGTAAACAAAATTATATAAGATTTTAGGTTATTTCAGTTTGCTTTGATTTTTTGTTTTGTTTTCATATTATATATATAGTTTGAATTTATTAATTTAATCTTTTAAAAACTATACTCAATTTTTAAATCAAATTTATTTCGGATACGATCCGAATCCAAAGTAACAAAAATGCGAATCTTATATATACGCGTTTTATATGAAACCGTTGGCTTATTATTTTCTTTTTGGCTAAAATACATGTTTTTAAAATATATGGAGACGTATTTATCAACAATTTCGCCGTCTCTATTAATAGATTTATCATTCTTTCTTTATTTTTTTGGGTGGGATTCTATTAAGTAGTAATCATATATATACGTAGATCACTTCAAGAGCAAGTTACCGTCTTACGGAAATGTGAATATATCATACGTAGACTTTAAGCTTTGGAATTTTGGAGAAACTCATTCCTTTTTTTTTTACATTATATATTCAGAATTTTTTTTTCTATCTAACAAATTTACAATCGTTATTCACTTTTTTTTTTTATATATAATATTGAGATTTTGATTTAGGGAAAGCATGATAACCTTGCAATCTTGAAACGTACTTATATGATCGTACAATAAGAAATAATTTCTTCACAAACAACATCATAAAGGTGTGTATATATATATATATATATATATATATATATATATATATATATACAAAGAAACAATGTATTTTCATTCAAAATGGATATTTTGTAATTTTGTTTTGGGTTAACTCTGTCAAAATGTGGACAGCAAATTCTCTAGATACTCACTTCCCAAGTCTTCGAACTCAAACACATCAAACCCCCTTCCGACAATCTTCTTTAACTCCGGTTCTTGAAACTCAGCATCTTCCTGAATCAAACCTGATCCATCGCTCCATCTATTTCTCTTTCTCGAATCAAATCCAGTTTCTTGGCTCCCAAGAAATCCGTATATATCCGAATCTTTAACAGAATCATAATAACAACTTGGAGGAAACCCGATCTCTGTAGTATTTTCTACCGTCGACTCATCTGCGAGATTCATATGAGCCGTTCCCGATCTTCTGATTCGAAAAGCGGGTTCATCATAACCCGAAACAGCTTCTTCTGTTGTGATATTGTATCCACTTGCCCTACTTATGGACTGCGCAGAAGGGGGACAACAATTATTGGGTTTGTTACCGATCTCCATAACATTTATATCCATTTCAGTTGGAAAATTCATTAGAGAAGGATAATCTTGATACTCTCTATCATCTGTAATTGCTTCTTTTGTTGTATCCGATCCAATCTCCATGTTTCCCAGCAATCCATTATAGCTAGAGGCACAACCCGTTTCCTCCATAGCCTTTATGATCTTGTCGAGCGGGAAATTCGTATGAGCCTTGTGAAGCCCTCTGATTCTAACAGCGGCTTTATCATAGGCCATAGCTGCTGCTTCTGCTGTGTCGAATGTCCCGAGCCAGACCCTCACCCCGTTCCTCGTCGAGTCCCTTATTTCTGCTGCGTATTTTCCCCATGGACGCCTCCTTACTCCCCTGTACTGCCTTGTCGTCGGGCAAGAAACTCTAGCCGATGAAGTGGAAGAACCTGTCAACTTGGTTTCCGACAAGGGTTTTTCGGTTATACTACTTGGGAATGAACTAATTCCATTGAAGATTTCTTCCCATTCATCATCCCCCATGGACAGCCATCCCTCTAAGCTTGGAATCCGTTTGAGATTCTCTGTAGAATCTTCTCTTCCGTCAAGACAAGGCATTCCTTCCCAAGATCCGGGAACTGGTATCGATCTTTTCTCGTTTTTGGGTTTTCCAATGAAATTGGCCCACACATTCTCCAAGATTCCGACATTGGGTTCTTGGATATTGCCGAAAGCCATTGCGAATCCGAGGAGAGGAGGAGTATGTGTTCGTACGGTTTAAGGGTATTTAAAAGAGATTGGTTTTGCGTTTCCGTGTGAATCGGATTGAGGAAATTTTGCGGCTGGATAATTGGTAAAGTACAGTTGGTGAAGCTTGTGTTCCAAGGCACTGACCACCTCGTTTCATGCAGGGTTTTAGGGTCCACACCACAATGTCAAATTAGGGTTTATCTTCCTTACACACATATACATGCACATATATATATATAATTCAATGTAAAATTAGGGACGGGAATTTAATCCGTAGTCTAATGATTATTAGGAGTATTTCATATAAATTCAATATTTTCGATATGGTGATGATTGGTTATATATATATATATCATATCCGAGGATCTTATATTTATTTTGAATCCATATTAAACGTAACGAATATTTTATTAATTCAATAGAACAAAGCGTGTATTGACTAATGGATAATCATGCTACTAAATCGAATGTCTAAGTTACTGGATTTTCACGCATTACGATTGGGTGCTCTTGAAAAAGTGACCAGATGCATAGTATTTAAATTTGAAAATCGACCTCGTAAAACTCACACGTACGTATGCGCGCACGCACACAATATATATATATATATATATATATATATATATATATATATATAAAAAAAAAATATAAA